CCTCTCGTTTGGCAGAGGTATCAGTGAACCAAGAGTTTGCTGATTGTTTTTGCTCACTGTCCAGAACCTGTGAGTGGTGTTGCTTTGGCCCACTGCCCAGAATCAGTTGAGGGTGAGGTGGAGCGCTTGGTACAATGGGGCTGGAATCCTGCCACTGAGAGACCAATTTACTTAATTTTTCAAGCGGCAGGTTAACCATTAAACCCTTTGGTACCCCTTTCTTCACCCCCAAGTTCCACCAATACTGTAAGCTAGAAATCAGCCTACCCTTTTCTGTTTTTATGTTAAGAGGGGTTTCTTTAATTATCAGGTCAGGTTTGTCATGGCTGCTACTTAAGCTCTCAGTTTTTGGTATCACCTGATTTTTTACAGCTCCTTCTGTTATTGAGAAGATGTTAGAGTAATGTTCTATCTCAGCATACCACTTTCTCACTGAGGCCCTCTGGGTCACCCCGTCAGGGTGGAGAGTCCCAGTAGTGACTGTCTTTGTAATTTCAAAAGGGCCTTTTAATGCAATTGGTTGTTGTTGTGCAATTTTTTCTACTTCTATGAGAGCTGAATTAACTACAAACAATCCCTTTTCCCAGGTAGTGTACCTCTTTTCAGCATCTTTATTTTTTATTACTTCTTTTTCATCTCCTCCCACAAGGATATCATCTATGGTTGTTTGGAGGAGAATTGCTGTAGGTTTCAGTGATTCTGGAAGACCACAAATTAAAGGGGTCATAATTTCAGCTTTCACGGGTAACAACATTGGTGATTCAGAACCAACAATTAATTTTCTTTCATGAATCAGTTGTAGACAAGCTGCCTTATGAATGTTTTCTAGAATTTGATCTGGGGAGCCAGTCAGAGCTACAGGATCTCCCCTTTCCAGGGGGTTAAGTCCCCCTGCCCAATATGCAGCTCGCTGTGTTAGGGACCATGGGTTGCAGTTATCTCCTGTTGTTAAGAAAACACCATGTCCCCAATAACCACTTGCTTCTTGTTCAGATAATCGAATTTGATCTCCCCCTGTGAGAGACACTCAGAATATGTATTCTGTCTCTGACTCGTGAGGGAGATGATCATACACCTTTTTCAACTTAGCCAATTCAGTAGCAGTGTACGGGATTTCTTTAGCGGTTATATGTGGATCAAGATCTTCATCACTGATATAATTATATTCTGTTTTAATCAAAGGTCTTATTTGGGAGCAACAGTTTTCACCACAATTTTTTACCAAATGTAATTCTGCTTGAGAATTTATGTGATTTATCTGAGGAGTTTCTTTTTCCAACGACTCCTTAAAGGAGTCAGCATACTGTGAATTTTTGGCACACTCCTCACTCAGAGCAGTTCGTAACAAATTATTTTCATTTTGCAAACTTTCAACTAAATTTTGTAGGGATTCAATAATTGCATTTTCTTCCTGCCTTCGTCTCGTGCGAGCCTCTACAGCTGACATAAGGCAAGCTCCCAATACAGAACAAATTATGGTTTTATTTCGGCCAAATTTTAACTTTGACTCATGTTGCAGGGAGCGAATTCTATCAGTTACATTTTCCAGGTTGAACCAATTATTTTGAGCCCATTCTTGCCCAGCTGGGGAGGGCTTAGCACTGTGTTTTGCTAGCAAAGCAATGAATGCAGCTTTATCTTTTATACTAGAGTTTTCAGAGTGTTCACTCATCTTTGTGCGTGAAGGGTCCAGTACCACTACAGGGAGGTAAGACTTAAGTTACGCACAGACGCAGCCTTTGCCACGTCACCCTTCGCGTCCCTGTTTGGATGAAGAGACCAAATCTGCTTGGGAGGCACCCCTTTATGTTAAAATTCAAGTTGTCTCTTCACTACACCAAGCAGTCAAAATTCATCAAAAACACATAACAGTACACAGAACCACTACAGGGAGGTAAAATTTAGTCACACTACATCAGACGCAGCCAACGCTGCGTTCCCCCCTGCCGTGGGTGGAGAGACCAAATCTGCTTGGGAGGCACTCCTTTATCTTAAAATTCAGGCTGTCTCTCCGCTACACCAAGCAGTCAGCATATAAAAAACCAGTAAGTCCCACCTTTTGTACTCAAAGATCCTGTGTAAAATTCTGAAGACAGAGCCCTCAAATGAGTGTAGGTCTGCTTTTCACCTGGGCGAGAAATTCGAGTCGCCTCCCTTGCTTTCTAGACACTGCTCACCAGCGTGGCAGGCTAGGTGCGGCTGAAGCGAAACCTCCTTCTCCTGATACAGACTGCACAACAACCTGCAAGCCCTTCTGTCTGTCAGAATCCTGTCCGTGACGCCAATTTATGTCACGATCCACAAGGTGGGATTTGTGATGTGGTTCTTTTAGTCGGTCTTAGAGTACAAAAGATTATCAGCAAACCAAGGACTTAAACAACAAAACACACTTTATTGAGTGCTCATCAGCACTAATATGCGATAGAGAGAAAAGAGGAGAAAGCAAAGCATAAGGAAAAGAGAGTAAGGGGTTATAGCTACCAACGTTGAAGTCCACTCAGCTGTCCAACGACGCAGAGTCTTCTGTCCGTTGGGGAGATCTCAAAGGAAGGTAAGTTTGGAGTATAATTTTATAGCCTTTTGCAAAGCAAGGGACGCAGGGCCAAAACCAGAGGAGACTGATGATCATTGTGATGAATTCCATTGCGCGGGGAGCAGGTGTAGGGTACAGAGTGATCCATGTCTTGCAAGTCTTTGCTCACCAGCAGGAACGAGGGCAAGATGTTGTGGAAAACCCATTGCACAGGGTACCACGCACAAACCTCTGCTCACCAGCAGGAATGAGAGCCATGAGTCGTGGAAAACCCGTTGTGCAGGTTACCAAGCCTCTGCTCACCAGCAGGAACGAGAGCAGTGTACCGTGCAACCACCTACAAACAATCACTTAGCAAACATCCATCTCAGCTAGGCCCAAACCCCCAAACCAAGTCCCTTGTGATATTCAGGGTCTCAGTCTCTGTCCTTGAGATGGTTGTGAGACAGACGAGGGAATCTTCGGACCATCTCTTATACCCTACCAGTGCAAATGAGACAGGAATGGGAATTATGGCCTCTGCTGCTGCATCTTCCTCAGGGGAGGAAATCTTTCCCCTGCTCTGTGCACTTCTCCAGTATGAGTCCTTCCCACAGGCTGCAGTTATTCATGAACTCTTCCAGCATGAGTCCCTTCCATGGTCTGCAGTCCTTCAGGAATGCAATACTCCAGCCCGGGTCCCCGTTGGGTCACAAGTCCTGCCCACAAACCTGCTCCAGCCTGGGCACCCCTCTCTGTGGGGCCAGAGGTCCTGCTTGGTCCTGCTAGTCTTCCCACAAAGTCACATCCTCATTCAGACATCCACTTGCTCTGGCACAGGGTCATCCTGGGCTGCAGGTGGATATGTGCTCCACCATGGCACACCACGGGTTGCACCTTGGACTGCAGATGGAATCGAACTTCAATGCCTGGAGAATCTTCTACCCCTCCTTCTCCACTGACCTGGGTATCTGCACAACTACTTCTCTCACCTATGCTCACTTCTCTCTCTGACTGCAGTTGATTTGGTGCAGTAGTGTCACAAGGAGGGTGGCCATGACAAATCTTTTGGTCCCCTGACTTCAGGGCAGATGGTGGTGAAAATAAATAGGAGTGGGAACAATGGTTTGTACCAGGAAAATATCACTTTAATAAAGAATAAAAGGAAATAGGGACAATACCCAAAAACCAAACAACAGTAACCGGAGGGAGCTCTGTGGGGGTGACCAACCAAAGACAAGAACAAAGGAGGAACAATATATTACCTTAAGGAAAGAACATTTGGGAAGCATGACCATATAAGGAACATAACTAACCAACAGGGGAAAAGAACTTCGGTTAATTAACATACCAACTACAAGGGGTCTTGGGAGGAAGACTCAGGTTTGCCCTGAGTTAACAAATGTTTTCCAGGGCTTAAAATGGAGGTTCAGCTTATCAGAGGTGAAATCTGCCTGAGTCTGTGCCCCAGCCAGGCTGACTCCCGCACAGTAGCTTTTCCATCTTCTTAAATCAGGAATCCCAGAGGCACTACCACTGTCACTGATGTGCTCAGCCTTGGCCAGTGGCAGGTCTGTCTTGGAGCTGGCTGACACCTGATCTGTTGGATAGTTTTGACACTGCTCTGCACTGTAGCTCCAGCTAGCGCTACGGTGTTCTTTTGCACTCCAGCACAGGTGAGTGCCAAGAGTGGGAAGTCACTGGGGATTTTGCTTTTCCCTCAGTGAAACCTCCAGAGACTTGGGCCACCCCAAGCTCTGTGGTGCACGGTGTCAGGGACAGAGGTAATAAAGCAGAGGAGTCTCTCCAGAGTAGAGTTCCCAGCAATAGTTTATTAGGATGGGGAAACGTGGGATATACACTGGAACGAGTCACATCCACAAGAACCCGAAGCCATCCTGTGCAGGGGGTTAAGTACAGCCCAATCTCCAGGGGAGGGTACAGACAGTGGACCAATAGGGAATCCTGAGGGGAGGAATAAGAGGAGGGGGAATCACAAATTCAGGGATACACAGAGGGAGGGAGCAAGATACACTAAGCAGTGGGGCCTTGAGGGACAAATGATTGACAGGGAAGAATCTGGAAGACAGGGTGGGGTTTAGAATGATGGACAAGGGAGCAGAGGCAAGGTTGGACAGACAAGGAACTTTCAAGAAGGAAGGGAGGGTTTTGCTTTGATAGATAGGATGTGGGAGGGATAACAAGAGGTAGAAACCAATACATTCAACCCAGGGGGGGAAAAGGAACATACCAACAAATAATTCAAACCTATCAACTCTGACAAAATTAAACAAACACATTGCAACATAGTTTCTTACAGAAACTACTACTTACAGACTACTTTCTAATAGAAATTGCCTCTGTAGCTCTTCTGCTACAAAAAACCTTGCTATGGAAAGCCATTGCAGAGCAGAAACAAGTCCTCAATTTAAATTTTCATATCTGCCCCAAAAGTTTGTCAGTGCTTTTTATCCCACAGTCTGCTCTCTTCATTTTAGTAATTTAGAGATTAACTTTTTTTCCTGGAATTCAGTCTTTAAGACTGGACACTGGAAAGGAAGATTTTTCTTCCAACACAATATTCTGAGCAGCAGTATAAGGCAACCATGGCTTACTATCCCTGAAATCTAGTAGTAGATTTAGGATGGTGTTATATGCTTAAACAGATAAACAACTAATTAAATATATGTATAATCTCCCCCACAAACATACATCTCATCTCTCTCTCTCTCTCTCTTTCTCTCTCTCTGTCTCAAAACTTACAAAACTAAAGTATGTACACATGCTAAATTTGAATTTCAGAAATAAAATTATTCCTTAATTTGTCTCCATTTTTGTCTGTACAGAAAACTAGGCTAGTTCTAAAGAGAGTTGCAAAGGAAATGTAATAATCTGTCTTTCATTGTTTAACACTCCTCTTGGATTAAATTCACAGAAGCCTATTGATACCATAGAGCTGAAGGCAAACTTAAATAATAAAATCCCACAAGTACTTACTAGGTCTATTTTCTAAAGAATAACACTTATTTCTTTAACATCTTCTGAATTTCTGTGCTAGGTTTGTTGGCTTAAAAATTTAACATCATGATTTAATAAATTTTAAATTAGATTATTTACTCTTTAATTTTTTATTATGTGAAAAAATCTTAAGAAACGCATGCAGAATCCTAAACAAACACTTCCAAAAAGCAGGCAGAAAGTCTTGCTTCCTTGGTGTGATTATTCTGTGCATTTAAGAAAGCATGAATTATGCATCAGTTGCCAACAGAAACTGAAACAATGAGTGGTGTTTAAAATGGTTAAAAAAAATCAATATTGATTGAATCAATCTTTCTTACAGATAAGGTTAGCTGTACAAAAATTAATAAAAAATAAATACAAAAATAAATTAGCTGTACAAAGTCAGTAGTTTAAAACTGTTGATCAAGAAACAAAAAGAAAATGAACAGCAGGTGGCAGTACTATCAAGAGCAGTGATTCTGATGAGTGTCATCAGCTCGTGTTCGTGTACTGTCAGTTCTTCTGCAAAAGGTAAATTAAATACCACAAAATCACCTATGGCTTGTGCTTTTGGGGTAAACAATAATGAGGGATTAGCCAAATTGAAACACATCTCTTGTTTCAAGTGGTTTCTCCTGTGGCAAACATGAAATTACTTTCATAAGAAAAGTTGTTTTTTCTACAAAGTGACAAGTTTATTCTGTGCTTTCTTCTAGATGGAATTTTGAGTGATAATATACAATTTATGTAAGAATAAATATAGAAAATCAACAAAAGTAAAATTTGATAAAACAAGTTTGGCTGTAAAATTTCAGACATGCAAACATCTTAGTCTATAAGTCTGCTGTCTTAATTACTCACTTGTTATATCCTTATTAATGCAATGCTCTTTGTCAAAGCATTTTAAAAAAACATTACTGAAACAGTTTATCTTAAAGACTGTATATTAGTGACCTCTCATATAATTGTACAGAGTTACTTTTATACATTTTGTTGCAGAACAAATTGCTGAGCTTATTAATTTTTTACTTAATTGACCCTTGGTGCAATTTACTCTAATTTGTGACAGCTTATCCTTCTGCCAATGGTTAGTATCTTGCAAGGAGCTGCGCAGCTTGAGATTATATCACTGAGGGAAGGCACATAACAGTGTACTTGTG